GAACCAAGAATAGCAAGTTGCAAGTACGTCAATGGCAGCCTAAAATACTCGCCAAACCTAATCCTTGGGTATGGGTCTAAAATACTTTCTACCTGAGAATTTTGAAGCAGCCGTTGACTTGGATCTGCGGGTATGGGTCCTGGCAGAGGCCGCAGATATTTTCCGGGCCGCCATTAGAGGAACAGAATTCTCCAAGTTGGAAGCTTTTAAGAAAGGAACACACACTGACCGGAGTCGGCCGTGTGTTAATGCTGAGAATGAGATTGAGCTGAAAGATCTGGATGCTAATGGTCACACTCACTCGACATTCAGTGGGGAAGAAAACGTTGGGCTTCGACGACGGGATGACTTGTTGTATCAAGGGAGCCACATTGTTTTTTAAGCTGGATCTTCGGAGTGGATATCATATTAGAATCCAGCCGGGTGACGAATAGAGGACATCGTTTAAGATCAGAGAGGGTCTTTTCGAGTGGATGACATGTCTGTCTAATGCACCGAACACCTTTATGCAAGTGATAAATCATATTCTCGTTGACCTCATTGGGAAATGTGTCGTCGTTTATTTCGACGACATCCTCGTATATAGTCGTTCTGTCAAGGATCATTTGCACCATGTCCCGCGAGGTACTTTATTTTGCGTGTTGAGTCCTTTTTCGCCTCTCCAAGCAAATCCTCTTTCCTTGTGGATTCAGTTTTGTTTCTGGGATTCATTATTTCAGCATATGGCCATCGTGCTGATGAGAGCTAGGCGGCCGCCATTCGAGACTGGCCGACACCTACGACGTTCATGGAGGCTCGTAGTTTCCACGGTCTGTCTTCATTCTACCGGCGCTTCATTGTTCACTTCAATTCTATCACTGCGCCGATCACAGATTGCCTCATTGGCAAGTCCTTTGTTTGGACTGAGCAGATCGTTCATGCTTTCGAACTCATCAAACGGAAGCTCACTTCGGCCCCGTACTTTGTGCTTCCAAATTTTTCCCGACCATTTGATCTTTCTTGTGACGCGTCCAAGGTGGGTATTGGGGCTATTCTGAGCCATGAGGCTCGACCGGTGGTTTTCTTTAGCGAGACGTTACCGATTTGCGATCACGATATAGCACATACATGTAAAAATTTATGTAGTAGTGCGTGTCGCGCGTCATTGGCGACACTATTGGTTTCATCGTGAGTTCGTGTTGCTCACCAATCATGAGGCACTTCGACATATTGCTTCCCAGGACATCATATCCGTTAGACATGCTTCATGGACATCCTTTTTGCGCAGTTCACCTCCGTCCTCAAACATTGATCTGGCGTCTCTAATCGGGTGGCTGATGCATCGAGTCGACGCTCTCTTCTCCTGTCAGACATGCGTGTTGAGGTCATCGGTTTTGAGCTATTGAAGGACCAATACGCCTCTGATGTGTTCTTTGGTCCATCCTGGCATGTTTAGCATCTGGCCCGGTTGATCATTTTGTGCTCTTTTTCAAAGGAGTCCATTTAGGTGTCCCAGATTGCAGTCTTTGGGTGAAGCTTGTTGAGGACCTTTTATGGGGCATGCCATGTGGGTCGTGATCAGTCCGTGGAACTTGTTCAGCGAACCTTCTTATGGCCTACCTTGTGACGGGATGTCTCGCGTTTTGTAGCGCGATGCTAGATTTGCCAGGTGTTGAAGGGCGTCGCATCCAATGTGGGTTTATATCACTCGCTACCAGTTCCGTCGCAACCATGATGTTCCATTAGCATGGACTTTTTTCTTTGGTTTGCCTCGTATTCAACGAGGTAATGATTCTATTTTCGTGGTTGTGGATTGGTTCTCTAAAATGGTGCACTTCATTTCGTGCAAACGGACGATCGATGTAGTGCATGTGGCACAACTCTTTTATCAGGAGGTCTACCGTTTGCATGGTCGGCGCACCTCCATCGTGTCTAATCGTAATACGCGCTTCCTCAACTTCTTCTAGCGTAGTTTATGGCGTCAGGCGAACACCAGCCTCAACTTTAGCAGCGCTTACAACCCACAGACGGACGGCCAGACCAAGGTCGTCAATCGCTCTTAAGGTAATTTGCTTAATTGCTTGTTGGAGATAATTTGAACCCGTGGAATATGCGGCTTAGTCAGGCCGAGTTTACGCATAATTCGACAATGAGTCGGGCTACTCGCTACAGTCCATTTGAGGTTGTTTACGATATGTCTCGCGTGGTCCGACGGATTTGATCGCCATGTTACCCTCTGGCCTCGAAGATCGGCGGGCCGAGGACTTGATGTCCGATTTACGCCCCACTCACGAGGAGGTTCGTGTGAATTTGGAGGCCGCAAATGTCGCTTACAAGCGGCAGGCGGACATTTGTCGGCAGCATTTGGAGTTTGAGGTGGGTGATTTCGTGTGGGCCATCTTGACGAATGGCCGATTTCCGACACATGAGTACAATAAATTGTTGGCCCGAAAGATTGGTCCTGTGAAGATCCTTGAGAAAATTATACCAACCCTACCGTCTTCGTTTACCGTCGCATGTGTGCACTTCAGACATCTTCAACGTCAAGCACCTAGTGTCTTTTCATGGGGACAATTCTAACGACGAGAGTGGTTCGAATTCGAGGGTGAATCCTCGCCAACCGAGGGAGAATGATGCCGACGAGAGTGCGTTGGCGTTGCTCGATAGACATGATGGAATTCGGACATCAGTTTGATCGTTATTCTATTTTTACTATTATTTTTCTAATTCTTTCATATTGGGCTTGTTAGGAGTGGGCTTTTAAGACTTGTTTTTTAAGGCTTTTGATGTCTTATATAATACACCTCTTTCTTGTAATTAGTGATAGCATACATGCAGCACATGCAAGCACAAATAGAACGTCGCCATATCAGCTCAAGAAGCCATGCATAGATAAGACCGGTCAACACGAGAATGGATGAACAAGATTTAAAGAATCATGGTCTCATGCAATGAGAACCGTTGGATCGACTGTAGATGCATATATAAGTGAAAGTTACCTTATTTGTAACCTAGACAATTAATGGAAGAAAATGAGATGTAAACATTGCATGAAAATGGCAGATTCATTCTTGATTTTCTCTGCACATCTTTCCTTCTTTTCTCTTAATACTTAGCTACTCAAAAACTCTAACATGGTATCTAGAGCTTTTATTTTTCTCCTGGGACAAATCAATCCGTCTCACCGGTCACCTCCATTTTCAGATCTCATTCATTAAAAAAAAAAAAAAAACAGTCTTATCCTCAGATCTGCTATCATTTTTCGAGACATGGCCTCTCACATGTCAACAGACAGCAACATCAACACCATGAACACAAATCCATCCAGTGTTATTCATCCCCAACACCAACTTATATCCATCAAGCTCACAGATTCAAACTACTTGCTGTGGAAGCAACAAACATACAGTGCTATAGTGGGTTATGGTCTTGAGAACTTCATTGCTGCAGATTCTCTTCCTCCACCGAGGTTTCTCTCATCTGGCAGTGGAGATCCACCTGCCCTCAACTCCGAGTTTGCCACTTGGGTTAGACAAGACCAACTCCTTATGTCTTGGCTACTCTCTTCCCTGAATGAGAACCTACTTATCATGATGGTTGGCAAGACCACATCTCGTGAGGTATGGCTTTCCCTAGAGTCTAACTTCTCTGGCCTCTCTAAAGCCAGATTGATGCACCACAAACTTCAGCTACAAACCCTAAAGAAGGGATCTACCTCCATGAGAGAATTTTTAGGCAAAGTCAAAGCCTGCTGTGATGCCCTAGGTGTTGCTGGGGAGCCTGTTTCAGAACAAAACCATATTCTCTATATACTTGTTGGTTTGGGGAGTGAGTATAACCCTGCTGTTGTTGCTGTCACTTCAAGAATTGAACCATACTCTCTCAATAAAGTATATGTTATGCTACTCAGCCTTGAGTCTAGACTTGATATTACTGTTCAACCTATAGTGAATCCTGATGGCTCCCTGCCTAGTGTCAACCTAGCAATGAACAACACCTCTACTCCAAGACCTCCCTCTCATTTCCCTCCCACTACAAACTCAAGAGGAGCCTTCTCTAATCAAAGGGGCAGAGGGAGAACAAATAACTACAGAGGGAGAGGTGGTAGAGGCTACAGAAACTCAAATGCTAGACCTTCATGCCAACTGTGTGGCCTCAACAATCACACTGCTGACAGGTGCTATCACAGATATGACAGCACTTATCCTCCTCCTACCACAATGCAGGCTCAAACAGCTTAGACTCACCCCACTTCCAACTCCCATCACAACTCAACTGCACCTTCACACTTCAATGCCTTGGTCACTTCACCTGACCCAACAACAGATTCTCTGTGGTTTGCAGATTCTGGTGCATCCAACCATGTCACCAATGAACTCTCCAATCTCAACTTAGCATCAGAGTATCAGGGATCAAACAGGCTTCATGTGGGCAATGGATGAGGTCTGGATATTTCACACATTGGCAATTCATACATTCATGATAATTCTAATCATTCAAGACATTTTCTTCTCAAAAACCTCTTACATGTTCCCACCATAACTAAAAACCTTCTAAGTGTTTCTCAATTTGCTCTTGATAACTCAGTATACTTTGTGTTTTATCCACATCTTTGTTTTGTTAAGGATCAAGCTACACACCAAGTTCTTCTCCAAGGTTCATTTAAAGGGGGCCTTTACAGCTTTGATTTCCACAGCACCAACTCCAAATCTCAATCAAGTCAAAAGACATCACCACCTTCTTTAATTTCTGCAAATGTTGTTACTTTCAATCAAAAAAATGATCTAGCGCTTTGGCATTCTAGACTTGGCCATGCTGCCTTTGATGTAGTGTCTAAAGTAATGAGATCTTGTAATGTTTCAATTTCAATGAAAGACAAATTTGTTTGCAGCTCTTGTCAACAAGCTAAATCTCATTCTTTACCTTCTTCTTCATCTGACACTGTGTATAATTCTCCACTTGAATTGGTTCACACAGATGTGTGGGGACCATCTCCAATCACATCCACCAATGGTTCAAAATATTATGTGTGTTTTGTGGATCACTATACCAAGTACACCTGGATATACTTCTTGAAACTTAAGTCTGAAGTCAAAGATGCCTTTTTACATTTTAAGAACCTTGCTGAAAACCAACTTAACCACAAAATTATATCCATCCAAAGTGACTGGGGAGGGGAGTTTAGAGCACTTACCTCAGTGTTTCATGACTCTGGAATTAACCATAAACTCTCTTGTCCTTACACTCTATCTCAAAATGGTGTGGCTGAGAGAAGGCACAGAACTATTGTTGAAATGGGACTTGCTCTTCTATACCATTCACATGTGCCTCTCCAGTATTGGGATGATGCCTTTAGTGCTGCTATTTATACTCTCAATAGACTACCTGTTAAAGCTCTCCACTTCACATCACCCTTGGAAAAACTTTATGGTCACACACCAAATTACACCACCTTCAAAGTGTTTGGCTGTCTGTGCTACCCCAACTTCAGACCATATAACTCTCACAAATTACAACCCAGATCACTACCATCAACCTTTATTGGTTTCAGCTCCAAGCATAAAGGATACAAAGTTCTTCTCCCTTCTGGGAAAGTCATTGTCACCAAAGACATTACCTTTGATGAGACATAATTCCCATTTTCAAAAATCTCTCATACACCCAGTCCCAATCCAGATAACTCATTATTCTTTCTTCAGCCTCCACCAATAGTGCATCACTCTCCCTCCACTCACCCTTCCACTACTAATCAACCCCCTCCTTCTCCATCACCAAATCCCTCTCCACCACAGAACAACTCACCAAATACACCATACACACAGTCATCTTCATCCACTCATTCCCCTCAAAACTATACCTCGCCATCTTCTCATTCCACTATACCTCTTCATGTTGAATTGCCAATTGTGAGGGATACTAATATACATGTTCCTTTATCTACTAATGTCAATGTGCCTGCTCACCACATGATTACCAGGTCTAAAACAGGATCTTTAAAACTAAAGGCCTTCATTACTCAGGTCACAACTGAGGAACCTACTTCCTATATGGATGCTCTCACTAAACCACCTTGGAAGGCAACCATGGTCTCAGAATATCAGGCCCTTCTCAGAAATAAGACCTGGTCACTTGTGGATGCCCCATCAAACAGGTCCATCATTGGCTGCAAGTGGTTGTTCAAAACAAAAAGACATGCAAATGTAACAATTGCTAGACTGAAAGCAAGACTAGTAGCAAAAGGGTACAGTCAGTCTGCAGGAATTGACTTCTATGAAACTTTCAGCCCAGTTGTCAAGCCCACCACCATCAGAGTTGTTCTTTCCTTGGCCCTCACAAATGGCTGGTGTATTAAGCATTTGGATTTCAACAATGCCTTCTTTAATGGAGAAATTACTGAGGATCTCTACATGGCCCAACCTCCTGGTTTTGAAGATGCAAATAACCCTCAGCTTGTTTGCAAACTTCATAAGTCTATATATGGCTTAAAGCAGGCACTTAGAGCTTGGTTTACTAAGCTCAAGCAGTCCCTTCTATCTCTTGGCTTCACACACTCTAAATCTGACTGCTCCCTATACATCAAACAAACAAAGTCATCCTGTGTCTGGCTCCTAGTCTATGTAGATGATATATTAATCACAGGATCCAATGTGGCTGCCATAGCCACAGTCATTGGCACTCTACAACAGCAGTTCTCTCTCAAAGATCTAGGCAAGGTGCATCACTTTCTTGGCATCGAAGTGAATCAGGTTCCCTCTGGTCTACTACTCACTCAGAGTAAATACATCAAGGATATTCTTAACAAAACAAAGATGTTAGATGCCAAACCACTTCCCACTCCCATGATATCCTCATCATCTCTCACCAAACATCAAGGCAGCCCTATGGAGAACCCTACTCTTTACAGAAGTGTGGTAGGTTCCTTTCAGTATGCTTGTATAACAAGACCAGAAATATCTTATAGTGTGAACAAGGTGTGCCAATTCATGCAATCTCCAATGGACACACACTGGAAGGCTGTCAAAAGAATCCTCAGGTACCTTGTTGGGACTCTATCTTATGGGCTACACTACACTAGAAATACCAGTATGCATATAACTGGGTTCTCGGACTCTGACTGGGCCAATGATCTAGATGATAGAAGGTCTACCTCAGGTGTCTGCATTTACCTTGGCAAAAATCCAGTATCTTGGTGTTGTAAGAAACAGACTTCTATCTCCAGATCGAGTACTGAGGCAGAATACAGGAGTTTAGCTCAAGCTTCAGCAGAAATAATATGGATCACTTCTTTACTAAAGGAACTTGATGTCACTTGCTCTCAAACTCCAACTATGTGGGTGGACAACCTTAGCACCATCTCCCTCTCCTCTAATCCAGTGCTTCATGCTCGCACAAAACACATAGAAATAGATCTCCATTTTGTCAGAGATCTTGTGGCTAAGGGTGTGCTCAAGGTACTGCATGTTCCATCAGTGGATCAAGTGGGTGACATATTCACCAAACCACTCTCACAACAAGCCTTCTCTCGGTTCAGAAATCTGCTCCAACTTCGACCTGCAACCTCCTTTGGCTTGAGGGAGGATGATAGCATACATGCAGCACATGCAAGCACAAATGGAACGTCGCCACATCAGCTCAAGAAGCCATGCATAGATAAGACCGGTCAATACGAGAATGGATGAACAAGATTTAAAGAATCATGGTCTCATGCAATGAGAACCGTTGGATCGACTGTAGATGCATATATAAGTGAAAGTTACCTTATATGTAACCTAGACAATTAATGGAAGAAAATGAGATGTAAACATTGCATGAAAATGGCAGATTCATTCTTGATTTTCTCTGCACATCTTTCCTTCTTTTCTCTTAATATTTAGCTACTCAAACACTCTAACAATTAGCAACTAGTGATCATTTAGAATTAAAATTTATCGTTCTTGAGTTTTCTCTCCTATCACAACAGCAATCGTATGCTTACTACATCAATATCTATACAAATATGATGACCAACCTATGAGCAATCCTACCTTCTTTAGAAGCATTGTTGGAGCTTTATATATTCCACTATTACTAGACCAGAGATCTCTTACAGTATTAATAAAATCAACCATTACATGCAAAGTCCATTGGAATCACATTGGAAAACAGGGTCTTAAGGTATTTAGGTGGGAGCATCCACTATGACCTGCATATCACTTGTGGACCTTTCCATTTAGTAGGCTTTGCTGATGTGGATTGGGCCGCTGCTGACAGAAAATCCACCAGTGAGAATTGTTTGTTCTTAGGTCCAAACTTGATTACTTGGGAGGGCAAAAAAAATAGACTACAATGTCCCATTCTAGCACAAAAGTGAGTTTTGAAGCCTTGTGACTTATGATGCTCTTTGGCTCATGTCCTTATTAACTGGACTTGGTTTTGCTATCAATATTCCCACCACCAATTTGGGTTGATAACCTTGGAGTCGTACATCTTTCATTCATTTTATATTAGGACATCATTATGTTATTTTTGAAAAGAATAAATATATTAGGAGTTTATTTGTTCTACAATGTTTAATAAACTAATTAATTTATTTTAATAAACTTAATCGCAAAAAACATTCAGCAACACGTGCATCGCACGTGCACTTTCTTTACTAGTCGAACTCAAAATTCTAAAAAGAGAAAAATCCAACTAGTGGAACTCTAATATTTGCCTTTCCGCATTAAATCTAACTGTAAATTTTCAATTTAATTCACATTGTAAGAATGAAAATATGAAATACTATTTAGTAGTTTCGAAGCTCACCAGAAAGAGGAGTAAGAATGAAATAAAAATAGCCAAAAAAAAAAAGAAAGATAGACATGCTTATAAGCTAGGGAAAAATTCAAAACTAGTCCCACAGGTGTAAGGGGGTGACATTTTTGGTCCCAACGGAATGCAAAAAATATAAATAGTCCCACAACTTTTAAAAAACGATCAAAAGTAGGACTTTTTGCCGGATTTTATTGTTTTCGGCCCGGAATGCCACGTGGCGCACACGTGGCATATATTTTTTAGACATTGGCATCCGACGTGGATATGAAAAAAAATCAAAACTAGTCACACAGGTATAGGGAGGTGACATTTTTGGTCCCACAGGTATAGGAAGGTGACATTTCTGGTCCCACAAGTATGCATAAAATATGCAACAAAATATGTCATGTATGCGCCACGTGGCATTCTAGGCCGGAAATAGTAAAATCCGGCAAAAAGTCCTACTTTT